TTTTTGCTGCTGTTTTTTTAGGTGCGGTGGGGTCAAGGTGGAGCAACAGAGGAAGGAAACAAACTCACAAAAGCCAAGGTAAGAAACAAATAATCGCTAGACGACTATTTTTCCTGCTGTTTGTCGTAGTTGTCCACTTTCGCGTACCGCAACTGCTTTCACGCTTTTGCACTTACCGAGGTGTGTATGTATATCAGCAATCACTAAGTACAGTAGGGACGGGCAGCATTTTGTATGTATGGGCTATTATAGAAAGTTTTGTTCATCTTCTGTAATGTTAGTGGTGGTTGGTGTATTCCTCCGCAGGATGCTGAGGTGTTGGAGGTGGTCGAACAGCCAGGGGTACCTGCCCAGCCAGTCACCAGGCCTCCTCCCCCCGGCTGCTGGGACAAGTTCAAGGTACGTACATAAATCATCAACACACACATCACAACACAAATATACAGTACTCAATTTTATAGCTCAGACAGTGTCATTACCAATGTGTATCACTTGATGGTTGTTGACACCCCTGTCTCCCTTGTACACATTGTACAATCCACTGAACTGTATTTTCCAAGTGTGTAAAGAGTGTTTGTGGACTATAACTACACGTAATGTAGTCGAATCTCATTTCAGAGGGCTTAGGACAACAGCGTGTATTTGGCCTTAATCTTTGGAATCTACAGCTTAGAGCCTGTTAGTCTGTGTCTGCCCATACTATCCTCTACAATACAAACTTGTCCGTTAGGGTTAATGGAAAAAATGTTTTACCATTGTCTATTAGGCTATTGTACATATGTCTGCCCATGACGACCCTCTGCAATGGAAAGTATAATCATCCTGTACTGTTTCTACTCCATGGAGTGTATATACTGCATGCAGACTCCACCCATTAGGGGGCATTCACACATGCAAATTTATGCACGGGGAGAGCTGCCCATGTTAACAACAAAAGTGCCTGTATGTAATAGCCTTGCCATCTCGGAAAATGAGGTTTCATTGTAGCAGAGTTTCGCAAACCTGCTGTTGGCACAGGTTTCTCCGCTCAAAATGTACAGCTCAACTATTGAGTATCTTCCACGGAACTGTCGCAACAGAACTCTTCTGTGACATAATATTATGAAGCCTGTAGGAGTAATGGAGTGCATTAGGAGGATCCATAATGTACACAAAGAAGCCTCTGGCTAGTCCCGATATTCCGGTTTTCTTGGCAAAAGCCTCACTCAGAACCTTCCGCAGTGTGTGCCCTCAACATTCCTCCCAACTACTGGACTAATTGGGGAATCACTGCCAGCATGCCTCTCTGGGCAAACACTTGGCCTCGAGGAAAGTACACAAACAGACCACACACTACTATACCGCACACCCACTGCACACCCTCAGACATACACCCACACTCTGCTAGTGGAGCCTGGCTGTCTGGTTCCTGGAGCAGGGGCGTGTACACGCTGAAGCAGGGCCACTCTGAAGCAGGGCCACTCTTAGGCATCAATGGTGTCCTGGAAAGCAGAGTGTCGTGGGTTCGAATCCCACCCAGGGCAGCTATTCTTTTCCTGAAAACAAATAGCTGTCCCCGGTGTAGTCGACTTGTCTGTTTGCCTTTCCTTCCTACCTCGATACCTCGTCGTTGACACATACACTTACTTGGTTGGCCCATGGCACGCACACTATAATTATGCTTCTAGGCCATTATCTGCATAATGACGTATGTACATCATCCTCTTGCGTATGGAGTGCATGCGTCATCTACATTTGGTTTTAGTGTATGTAACTTCTCATGCTCAAGATCACAGCTCCTGCACAATAATTACATACCCAATAGCATTCAACTGTAGCTATCTTGTTTTGACCATGCCTATAAAATTCTAGATTAACCTGTTTGTAAAGCAAACACCACAGGGGGCTGGAGAGAGAGGTGCTAGACGACTAGACTGATAGTTTGTGAGACGTGTATTTATACTTCATACGTGCAAGGGTTCCATGCCCACTTGTGTATCTTGATTCAGTTTCCGTGAGAATCCTATATCATAGTTTATCTGTAGTCATCATTGTTGCTTCGTCGGATATTAAAATAGATCTCTCCCAATATATTGTACCACTTCATGATTTATGTTCTTGGACTCAATCTGAGCCATGTGCTGTGTAGCTATATGTATATACATACCTCGGACTCGTGGAGTGATAGGGTGGTTTATAAATGTCACAGCAGCAAACACTCGGTAGTGTGTACTCTGTGTCCCTCTTTGACCTGCAGAAAAAGGTGAAACGAATGTATGCTGTTGCCTCATCCTACAGACCAGTCTGGGGACCCACCGTAAGTCCTGACAGTAGTACTGCATACAAATGGACAGTTAATGCATTCTCACGATAAGGCAACAATCCCAGCTAGAAATATTGTACGTGATTATGAGTGAGTTTTTGATGTCATTAGTTGTGGTTGTTATGGTGCGTTCATAGATTCATTTTGGTGAGATTAAGCCCTATAAGCTGAGAAGCAGTGGGTCTAAAAGGTTACAGGTTGTAATTGTTGTGATGCACGAGTTTTCCTTGAGGGGGTTAGTAATAGTAGTGGGTGTTTGACCCTCGGCGTGCATGCACAGCGAGGGTTACAGTAGTCGTTCTGTCTGGTGTCTGTTTGTCTATCACACTTATTCTGGCACTGCTGGCTACGAGGCGGCCCATGAGTGATAACAACGGCTTCAGAACTACATGCCAACCTGAAAAATAAAATTCTTATTTTCATGAAACGACTGCGTTCGTGAGATATGCCGTGAAAAAACAAGCTAAAAAGGCAATAGAAAAATCACACTGGGCTACCACGACCTGATTCGTTTGCTCTGTGTACATTCGAGGAAAAATAAGTCACAACGAAGGGCGTGTAACGACTCCCGCATGCATCTCTACTAGTGAGCACTAGAAATAAGAAAAACCCGTGGCAGACTTCCCAACCACCAGCTATAGCTGGGACGACGCACAGGAGAGTACTAATCAGCCCAACCACATCATTCAAGTAGCGGCTACCACGCACCATGCGCAGTGTGCCAAGGGTTTGCACTTTACTGCTTTTCATTATACTAGCAAAAAGTTGGCGAATGAAGCAAACCTACACCTACTCGTCTGAATGCAAGATTTCCCATACTGTATAATTATGTATGTAACTGTACCACGGGCACTGCACTTTCGGTAATGCTTACGTGATTCTAAATATGCATGAAAACACAGAAAACATATTGAACTGCTTCCTTCACTCGCCAAAAATGCATTGATATTGTTGCAATTCTCCTGGCTCTTTCTGTTGTGATTGTGATGTGCCACCTTCTGGATGTATAATTATGCAGAAGAAGGTCCTGTGGTTCCCTGGAACTAAACCTAAGACCTCGTCACAGCCAACTGCAAGCCACGCTTATGTACGTTTCTTTTGTCATGTTATGCCCTTCATTCATTTTAGTTTGAGTAGCTACAGACAGCCTTTAGTGTTTGGTATCAAAGTAGGGGATTCCTTATGTATACAGTGTGTAGTCTATACAAAAGCTGTATATATATACACTGGGATAAGTGGTCTATCCAAAAACGAAGTGTGAGAGTCGAAACTAGGTTGGGTATGAAACGAGATCCGAATTTTCAAATGTTCATCTCCTTCCAAAGTACATTAATGTTATTATCGAAGGGTGTGAATATTAAAATTTACCACTCAGCTCTGCAACTATTACGAGATCTGTAATATTTTGTCACAATACAATAATTATAGCACGGGATTTGATTACTGTCTGAGCTAACTATAATTATGATGAACATCTTTCTAATCTCCCAGAAGGCACCTGCTACTTCAAGACCGAGCAAGCCAGCTCCTGTCCCACTCAGGGCCGGAAGGTTGGTGTGAAACGTGGTGTACACCAAATGACCTCTAACACACCCACTCTCTATCTCTTCGTAGCTCAACTGCCTTCCTATTGCCAGAGAACGGGTCATCCAGCTCTCCAGTCGGGTATGCTATAGCTACCCCACGCATGCACACAAGGGGTTATGTTGTTTGTATATATTCAGTCTGTCGTTTTCCGCACTAAAATCACCAGATCTCGAGATATAGGTGCCTGAGTGAGTTTGAAAGGTGGCTAAACGGCAAAAAACTAGCGACCCTAGCTAGTATGCTTGGAATCAACAACACTGGCCACAATAGCTTAAAATTGAACTACAAATGTTGTGTCATTTGGCCACGCCTATCAATCAACCTGCTCTGCACATGTACCCAAATAACACTCAATACCGCACGGGCCTGGTACGTATGTGCTCCCAGAGCTCTTGTTGTGGACGTGAACATTATATAGTAGTTGTTAGGGTTGGGTGTATTAGAACATGACTCTATATAACTCAAATGGCGTCCATAAAGGCTTTGTAGAGAGACTGATGACGGCTGTCGCAATATCCCCACAGGTCACCTCCCCCGTATGACTCCTCCAACCCCCGCCCTCCTCCTCTCCGCCCCACCCGAGCCCCTCCCCGCCCTCCCTCTCTCAACAGGCCCTCTCGTCCTCCTCGTCCTCCTGCCAACTCCTAATAATGATCCTCTGTGTTAATTGTCAGTATCGGGGAGAGGCTGTTTTGATCATTATTCTTTCTACTACTATTATAATGTATGTCTCTGTAAAGCCATTGTTGTTCAGTAAAAGGTGTGGAGAAATGATGTAAAAAGTTGGGAGGAATGGATGTTGTTTTGTATGCATAGCCATAGTAGGACCATTGACCCACTGGGTGGATTTAGAGACCTCACCACTAAACCCCTTCTTGGCGACCTGTGCAGTTATCAAACCTGAGAATTAGACTGTTGTTGAATGCTGGGTCGATTACCATCTTAGTCCCTGTGACTCGCATTGACCTATGTGGCTGGAATGTGAAAATCAAGATTTTGTGGTTTTTCACCCTCAAAAAAATTTTTCACATTCCAGCCATAATATAGGTCCCTTTCCCATGCCCCCTCACATATACAACTTTAATAACACAAAATTTATTACTCTTGGAACCAAAATGCTACGTCTCATAATAGTATATAGCTACCACGTGAACCAAAAATGGAATAAGAAGAAAGAATGAGCCACCACTGGTAGATTGCACACACAACACACACATACAATAATTATTGCAAGCTTGTTGTAGAGTGCAAAAATTGAATCACATTTAAATAACACAACATTATGCTCCCTATCTATAGTTGCAGCATAAAATAAACCAGTATTCTAAGGTGAGATTCATTCCACGTAGACACCGAAAGAGCCACTCCAAGTCTCTCCTCCACTCAGTACAGAGAGATGGTCGTGGTTGTTGTAGGCATCTGCCATCCCCGACATTGGCTCCACGGCAATTGCATCCTCGTGGAACAGACTCTCTGAGCCCGTAAACACGTGGACCAGTCTGAAACTGCTGTCCTGCCAGAGAACGGCCGTCTGAGAGGTGTCCACGTCGTACAGCCTCGTTTGAATCACGTTACATTCGGGGCTGTCGGGACTAACGGGCTTGAACTCGTCGTCAAAGAAGGTGGGGTTTGTCTCTGTTCCACCGATGGGTTGAGAGCCGTTCAGACCGTGGTAGAGCTTGGTGATACCGGTCGGGTCCATGTTGGTGTTTAGCTCCACGTGGTTCCAGGTCGTGCACTTGTCCAGCACCACGTAGGTCTTGTAGGCCGTGCAGACAAAGTAGGGGTGCCAGCCCATGTAGAACGGCATGGGGAACGACTCCATCCGATTGGTCACAGTGAAATGCATACTGAAACCAGACTCACTCAGGGTGTAGTTGATGACTACGTCGAACGTGAACGGGTATCCGGGTAGGGGCTTGTCAAAGTGGTAAGAGAGTTGGAGACTGGCGCTCGAAGTGGTAATCTGGGAGCCAGTCACGGTGAGCTTCCTCCCAGGCATGAGTCCGTGGAGGGCATTGTGGCGGGGAGGGTCTGTGGTGTTCTCATTGACGGGGAGTTGGTAGCTTGCATTGAAGAATTCATACTTCCCCTGTGAAATATAAGACAATGACCGTGAACAATGAAGACAAGAGTATATAACTATTATACATTACCATTACTGGAACAAGTTTAGTAAAGTGTATAATAGTGCCATGCATGACAGAGCACCAATGCAAAACTCAAAAAAACTTTTATATACGTGGCACTGAGCTTGTCCCCAAAAAGAAGCAAGCAAGAGAGAGTAACAAATGTGATAACACAAAACTTAGAATGGCATTGACTGCAACACACGTACCCCCACTTGCATGGTTGGGGGACGAGCATACAAGCAGTCCTGTTGTGTTCTATATACAGCATTGATTCATGCATGTCTGCCATAGAAGAATGCTCAAACAGCAGGCTGAATGACTGGCGTCTTACATAGGCTATTCTGTTGGCCCAGGGAAGCAGCAGCATGCCCTTCCACCACTTGTTCTCCAGCACAGCGGTGGCGTTGTCGTGGTGCGTGAGGAGAACCTTCCTCTGGACCCCAGTGGTGCGAGAGTTGAGGACCAGGTCCTCCACACGACCTCCATAGTCCACGATCGTCTCCACGTACTCACCTGCGCACGCACATGTGACCCTAACTAGCTATTAGAGACAATGAAAACTCACTTGTATCATCGTTCTGGATGCGCTTTGCTGCCAGTACGCCTCCTATTGTGGTGTCCACGATGGAGTAACGGGTAGCATTTGATGCACGGGCAAGAATAAAAATAAGCGAGGCGAGACGTAGAGCTTTAGAGCACCGGCCCATCACTAGTTACGTTGTAAACACACGACGAGCCACGCCTTTTCTTCGCCTTCTGATAATGCCCATGCACAATGTGCGAGGCGCTATATAGAAGTGCTCGCACGTCATCAAAGACTACGAACCGCTCATGCGCAGTTGGAATCGATTCCGCTCGCCAACCCGACCGCGGGGGCGTAGCTAGCTAGCATTGAGGCAGAGGAGGCAGTTGCCTCCCCTGTTTTTGCCGACGTATGAATAATTTATTACAACTTTTCGCAGTGTAACCGACAAGCGCCAGCAGCGAGAGCATGCAGTTACAATCAACCAAGAGCGGACATATCCTTACAAGCCCGGGATATAATTATAGCTCCGGGTCATTGCGCAACATCATTGCGCATGCGCGCAATTAATCATGAATAACAAATACCTATTTGCCTCCCCTAAGATTGAATCCTGGCTACGACCCTGAAATAACGCCCCTTTTCTCACTCCCTTTCGTTCTGATGCGCGTTTGCTACACCTGAGAGACTGCCGCATAGCTACCGTCGACGCTGCAAAAAGTATGTCATAATGGCACTATAAATAAACTCTTTTAACTACATTTTATGCTGCAGGACCTTCAGTCATGGCAGGAGAGTCTGCATTTGCTTATCACAATATTAATATCAATAAGCATGAAAGTCTTGGTAGTGGATCTTATGGAACAGTGTACAAAGCTAAGTGTGATGGACTACTGTGTGCTGCCAAGATCATGCACTCAACACTATTTGACCAGAATGATCCTGGAGCAAGCTCCTACCTGCGTAAGTTCCAGGAAGAATGTCACCTACTTAGCAAAGTTAGGCACCCAAATGTAGTTCAGTACCTGGGTACCTGTAAGGACCCTGACACACAACTGCCTGTTCTTCTAATGGAACTTTGCGATGAAAGTCTAGCCGCATTTCTAAAGCGATCCCCAGGACCACTGTCATACCACGTTCAGGTGAATGTTTGCCACGATATAGCACTGGCTCTGGTCTACCTACACTCCAATGGTCTCATCCACAGAGACCTAACGGGAAACAATGTCCTAATAATCTCTGGCCCTCGGGCCAAGATAACAGATTTCGGAATGTCCAAGTTTGCCGCTGTTAATCCATGCATGATGACCATGACCAAGTGCCCAGGTAATGCCTTGTACATGCCACCAGAAGCTATTGAGGATAAGGAATCGGTATCCTATACAGCTGCGCTTGATATTTTCTCTTTTGGTGTAATAGTCATTCAGATCTTGACCCGGTTATACCCTAGTCCAACTGACCGCTTTAGTAAGTTTGAGGTGGAAGGAGTAAAAGAAGATGTTCGAGTAGTCATTTCTGAAATAGAGCGTCGTCAGGCCCACCTCAAGTTGATCCCAGACACTCACCCTCTTAAGCCACTAGCCCTCAGTTGTCTAGTGAAATCTGATGTGCGTCCTCTAGTTTTTCAGATTTGTGAAAAGATATCTGAGCTCAAAACATCTTCTCAGTACATAGAGAGCATGCAACAAGTGCATGTTACCCCTCAGACAAAGATCAGCAGTGACATTCAACAACCTGAGCTGCAACAAGATCAGTCACATGAGCTTGAAAAATATTACACACCAAATGGTTCTATGCTAGTAGTGCAGCCTAGGAAAGAAACGCATGAAACTCCAACAAAAGAAGCCAAGTTTGGTGAAAAGGAGCAAAAAGTTACTTCAAAGTTAGAATTTCAGGGAAAGGATAATGATAGGCAAAAAGAAAAACAGCATGCAACAAATTCCGATAATTTTGCAGCTAAACTAAAGTTAGTGGAAAAAAATCATATGTAACACATTGGTGTTCAAAAGCATTTTAAAGAAAGCTTGCAGAAAAAAGATGTTTCCCTTCAGCCCTCTATATCGTCCGCATCTGTAGATAATGCCAGTGAAGACCAATCTAAACATCAACCACCATCGGAGGCAACAGGCCTGATAGATATGAGCAAAATGAAGTGGAATGAGGGTAAAAATGCACCAGATGCTATGTCTAGAGGTGCATCTGCAATCCATGGGAACATTGTCTACCTCACATCAGGTGGTTCGCTTAAAGTATATTCATATCAAAATATTCATGGGGAGGAAATATGGTCCCAACTACCTGATAACCCTAATGAGAGTCATGGTCTTGTAGTTATTGATGGCCTTCTCACCAGTGTAGGGGGTAGAAATAAGCATTTCACTAACATGTTGCTCAGCCTTACCGGTGAAGATAAGGAGAAACAGTGGCTCGTAATTTATCCTCCCATGCTCACAGCTCGAAGCAGCCCAGCTTGTGTTACCACCGATTCATACCTAATTGTTGCAGGAGGTTATGGATTGCATACCTGTTTTGATGCTGTTGAATTAATGCATATCGCAAACAAACAATGGTTTAAATCTTATTCCCTTCCTATGAAATGCTCAGAAATGTCTGCTACTGTGCATGAAAACACACTATACCTAGCAGGAGGGTCTAAAGAGAAGCCCGAAGGAGGGTTTACACCCTCGACGTCAGTCATCAAATGCTCCCTTCCTGATCTCTGGTCAGGTTATTGGCGATTCTTAAAATGGCGATGGATAAATGTTTCTAGTTTACCAGTTAAACGGTCAACTCTTGTCTCGTTTGGTGGCGAGCTTTTGGCTATTGGTGGCAAAGGTGATTTACACCACCCCACTTCCGACGTCTACAAATACAATTCGAAAACAAACTCTTGGACTGTTACTAGTCAGCTTAATATGAAGCGATTCGCTTGTTTCGCAGTTTCTCTTATCGACCGCCTAGCTGTATTTGGTGGATTTACGGAGAGAAAGGTTGATGGCAGGACAAACAGCATTGAACTATTTAACTGAAACACAGTTTTTGTAACAATTCGGTTGTACCCTTTATATGTAGACACCCTTTCATACAGTTAGGTTTTACACTAATGTTTGTTATGAAAGGTTTTTAGGCGTTTTTAGTTGCTAACTGTAAAACCCTCGGTGCGCATGCGCAGCGAGGGTTACGATTGTTGGTTTGTCTGTGTACACACGTGTGTGTGTGTGTGTGTGTGTCTGTCGACGCTTATTGTGGCACTACAGGCTACGAGGCGGCCCATTAGCGATACCAGCGGCTTCAGAACTACGCGAGCTTGAAAACTAAAAGGGCGATTTTCCTGAAACGACTGCGTTCGAGAGCGACAAACTGGCACGGTCGCGGACCGCGTTGCGTGGCCCAACCCATCAATAAGCGGTGCGCATGCGTATATTAGATGGTTCCAAGGTGCAACTTGCAGGATGCTAGGATTGCTCGTGCAACATACGGCTGCATGCCAGCTGCCTGGTGGACCACGACTGACGAGCTGAAAGCGTAAGGTAAGTACCGTTCTGCTCACCTGCTCACCGTTCTGCCAATGTGCAATACGCATGTAACAGCGACAGGTATATCGGTGTTGCTTCACGAAAGGAAAGCTGTGCGCTGACGGCACGTTATGCAGCCCGAACATCGCGGGCAAATCCCAAGTTGGGTCGCTCCCGCTGGCCAACAATGTTCAACATTTCCACTAGTTAGTTGGTGAGCGGGAGCGAGCCAACCTAGTCGTTCGTTTTCGAGCGGAATTTTTATCGTACGTCGTGTAAATGCGCATGCGCGGCTTTGTACGCGCTTCTTTTTATCCGAAACTATTTCCAAATTTTCACACATTTTCACACACGCGATATGCGCCGATCGATCTAGCCGGCTAGAGAACTCTCCTCCATTCGACGGCATGCGCTACCTTCGGTGACTGACCGAGGCTGTTATTCCAACGTGCAGCTTGCAAATACGCTAGGATTTCTCGTGCACATACTGCTACATGCCAGCTGCCTGGTGGACCACGACTGACGAGCTGAAAGCGTAAGGTAAGTACTGTTCTGCTCACCTGCTCACCGTTCTGCAAATGTACAATACGGATGTAACGGCGACAGGTAGATCTGTCTTGCTTCACGAAAGGAAAGCTGTGCGCTGATGGCACGTTATGCAGCCCGAACATCGCGGGCAAATCCCAAGTTGGGTCGCTCTCGCTCGCCAACAATGTTCAACATTTCCACTAGTATAATTATGTAGTTTGAGGAGGTTGCAACTGCGCATGCGTGGTAATTTGGGAGGAGGGTCCAGTTTTCCTCGTCGCCGGGGCAACCCTCGTGTAGCTCATAGAGCGTCTTGTCTTTGAAAATCTGCAGTCGCTCCAGAGCTAATCGTATCACCTGGATAAGGAGGAGAGAGACAGACAGAGAAGGGTGGTGGCAGTTTTGGAGGCCAGCACTGAAGTGTAGTAAACTGGCCTAAGCTCCCCCGGATACACCCTTATTGTCGTCGGGCGGTCCTCCATGGCAACCAGACAACAACCACACCCCTCTCAAAACAACAGTGAAACTGTTTGCACCCAAAACTCTAGAATAAATTGTGCGGAGGGTAGGGGGGTAGGAATTCCTCCATCAGCAAACGTAACATCTGTAAGAAGAGAAGGTGGATCCGTAAACCAATATTGGCACACATGTTACCCTAGCAACAGAGCTCTTTGGAGCGTACAAGTTACATGATAACTATGATTTTCTGAGGCGTGCATACCATAGCTATATATTATACATGAGTAAAAACCTACATACAACAGTATAATATCTTCACATGGTAAATGTGAGAGCTCACCGCAAGTAAACATGCCCACACAATCAGAACACCATCTACAACATAACTACATGAAGCTAACAACAGGTCCTACATGATTGCACCTCTACCTGCACATGCAGTGGTACAGTATACACATAATTATATAGACATATACAAGTTGCAATACAATACAATACATGCAAGATGTACATCAGCTGTACAAGATATGTACAACAATACAAGACAGGTACATAATATGTACATTCCATGCATAATTCGTATATAGTACACAGCCATGCATGTATAAGGTTATTTAACTTGCACAGGATTTGGACATTAAGTGGTATACCCCCTTCATTAATGGGCAGCTAAAGTATTCAATTCATTTCTTTTGGTGAACGAACATTTTCAACAACTCCACATGATTGTGTGAATACAAATTTGACACCTCCACGAATAGATACACATTATTAAAGAATCACACATACATAAAAACGACTAGGTAGGCTAATTTTTCACTTGACAATACTCAGTACAGTACTATAATACTAGAAGGTCACTATAGTAACCACCATTCACAGTATAAACATGGAGGCTGTATTAAGTACATGCAGAGTTAAGTTGTGGAGATAGGAATGTTAATTAGTGGCGGGTCACAATGGCCGTAGCAGCTGGTGGGTCTAGAGAAGTGGCCAAATATCACAGGACAGAAGCTGTCAGGAATGATGAATGGCCAAACAGGAGATTTGAAACCACAAACATTCCTTACTGTATGAGTAAACACTGTCCTACTCAATATGTACATTACCGTCATAATTATTATGAAACATGTTTGGCCTATAACGCAGTGTTATGCTCCAACGCCATGCCACCAATGGGGCAGAAGGAAGTGAGATTCTTGCATGCACAAACCTGTAGGGGGAAGAAAAGGTGTCCTCATTTCAGGGGTGTTCTCTGAGAGAGGTTCCAATGTATTTACAACAGTAAGATGCCAGCCTATACTGCCTCAATATCTGCTACCCCAACACTATCATATTTGCACGGTGTGTGTGCAAACGGTGTCCCATATACTAGTGGGTGTGAGGACCCTAACCAGAGTCACTGCCAAAAACTTCAATAGTCGTGGCGACACACCCTCCGTCCCTAGTACACACCTGACACGAGTACACGCATACTTGTGTCTCTGTTTCAGTGCATACTACTTCTAATGAAAATTCTTATTACATGTGTGCATCAAAACTTTCATGTAGAATAAACACCAGTGCCTGCGCCGTGATTTAAAGTATGTGTGTACACTGTACCATGCAGTCAAAGGATAGACCTGCTGACTACAGAACTCCAGTCTTGCTGACTACGGTACTATAATAGAGATAGCACGGCACCTTGCATCATAGATGTGTGTGTCTCATCATCGTAATACAGGTGTAAGGGTTCAACAAAGATGAAAGTTTAAACAGTTCAATAAACTATGCACATATTATGTAGGTATGTACATGAAATTATAGTTCATAGCATACCAGCCATAGGTATATAGATAGATAGATAGATAGATAGAGAAATAAATAAAAACCACCACCACCATATTTACAAACCCCAAAATATCCACACAAATACACATGACATGACATGATAGTAGGACACTGGGTGCCCAGCCTTGAGAACCGGGACGGTGGGTTAAAGAGTCTTTTATGGCTAGCCAACTCTCCCCACACACCCAGCATCCAAACTCCACATCACAAACAATGACAGCCACACAGTGAGTAACTGTACGATAGTACAGTCACGACAACACATGTAGAGTACGATACATATAAATATAAATATATAAATATATACACAAACACAGATGGTAGAAAAAAGAAATTGGTAGCATTGTAGAAAAATAGAAAAATAGAATCTAGCTTACTTACTGGACATAAAAAAACAAGGTAGAATGACTCCCTTGTAGCATGACTCACTTGTAGCAGTAAACACATGGTAGAAAAACATAGAATGACTTACTTGTAGCGGTAAAAACGTGGTAGAAAAATAGAATCTGGAATAAAATGACTTACGCAGTAAAAACGTGGTGCACTATCGTGGTTCCTATTAGTGCCGCCCCACGTAGTGTACATAGTAAAAATTATGCAGTAGTCAACTGTGTGTGTACAAAACATCTAGCTACCAATCCCACCGGATCTTCTATGTGTTGAGACATGGCGGCCCAGGAATCCATCACTGGCTGGCAAACATACACCGTCCTCAATATGTCTACATACACTACGTACATGTACGTATAGGGAGAAGAAGAGTGAAAGAAGCAAACGAGTAACTAAAGTTTCGATTAACTTCACAATTGTAAAGGAGAAGAGTAGTGAATAACACAGATGAGGTGGTTATGGTTATGGTAATGGTAGAGAGAGCTCGGAGCTGATCTTATTACCTGCTAATGTTCTCATAACCACACCTATCTGGGATATTTACTACCTATACTGATGTGACAGTTCAGCTGATTAGCACACACTTTATTGTGTACATACAAAGACATGTATGTAGATCCAGCTACAATAGTAACATAACAGGTGACTAGCTTAGCTTATTTATCAATCTGACTTCTGGGTCAGAAAATAAACTGGCAAAAGGTTATATATAATATATATAATTATACAGCTACTTGTTACTCTCAGTGTGTCATGAAGCTGTAGTTGTCGGAACGCTATACGTCTCTAAGTACATACTGTACCTCATAAATGAAACCAGTTATCTGCATTAGATAGGTATATAAGAGAAGTCAAGTATTTGCTACAGGAACGTATGCAACAGACTGTGCACTTGCTAATGTACTGACCGACGAAAGATAGCACAATGTGTATGTAGTGTCTGAAGGCTGAAGGCGGCCTGCCTCAGGTCTGTGAAGTTATAGATACACTTACGAGATGCCGAATTTTCACTCAGAGCACAAATAACACTGCTAGTCTCTCTTCTTCCCTTGTCATATTCCGGAGCTTCCAGAGCTGCTAGCTCAGATGCGATGATTACCAACTTCGTATAATTAGAGACACATATGAAAGTAATATTGATGCGCTTGTGTGAAGCCGCAAGGCAATGCGCATGCGTAAATCCCGCGATGCGATCATGATCGGAAGGAGGGCGGCGAGATAGAATCGGCCGAGATCTAGTCTATGAAGTTGAACATCCATCACTAGTAAGTCATTAACCCTCGGCGTGCATGCGCAGCGAGGGTTACAGTAATTGGTTTGTCCGTCTGTCTGTCTGTCTGTCAGTCTGTTACCACGTTTTCTGCCACCACACGCAACAAACAGGTAAAATAGCGACACCAAGTGGCTCAGCGCTACACTGGCTTGATTTTAGAAATGCCGATTTTTGTAAAAGTGCCGAGTTCAGAAGTTATAGCGTGAAAACCAAGTGAACAAGCCTCGGAGGCACAAGAAGCCACAACGAAGGGCGTGTATCGACTCCCGTATGCTATCTACTACTGTAGCTAGCCCGTGTCAGACTCTGCGCTAGCTAACTAGCGGGAGATCAAGAGTAAACGCATATATACTATAATTATAATAGGGCCAGCCCATCAATTAGCGGTACCGCGCATGCGCAGTTCGCCGAGGGTTTTCACTTTTAATCTGCAAGGATGTTACCACCAGCCATTTGCGATGCGTGGCTGAACTACTAGCTAAATGTGTTAATGAATTTTGATAATCCTTTTTAATATTGTAGTTGTAGTTACTTAGAAAGGATAGCAGGGTCAGGGTATCCAGTTCGCGAATATCTCAGATACATATGTATCATAACATTGGCTGCTTGTCACATGTGGTATATGGTTTGGTGATGGGGAGTATATACTTGCCATCATCAAGCCTACTTGGTATATGGTTCTCGCCTGAATTCCCTATAAGGAAAGCAAAGTGGGTGTTGATTAGGGAGTGACTCAGCCTTCTGCTGTTGATGTTAGTACAGCTAAGTGGGTGCTATATACTACTGGCCAATAACCCTATAATGCGCCATTGCTGGGGTAACGTATACCAAAAATAGTGTCCATGCCTACTTTGTATGATGACTGAGAGTAAGATCAAAGGAATTCCAGCTAGTCTAAACAACGTACACGCGTAGTGAGCGCCTTCCTGCTGAGTTTACGGGTAGTTATACCATAAAGAGGCCATACGATTTCCCCATACTTTAGCTGTATGTCAACTCATTTGCATAAACCACAATGGGTATATGGTAGTTATACGATAGTAGGAAACTGGCAGCGTGTTATGAAATTAGGGGGCTTTGTGCTGCTGTTTCTTTACCAGAAGGGAGTGTTTCAGGCCAGAAACTGCTCTAGTATATACGCGGTCTGAAAACTAGCTAAAAACTGCTTCCCGACGCGTAGGCTCCCGTAGACTGGAACAGTATGTGACTTTCAGCTTTCTTGCTACTGCAACAGGCTGCATTCGAGAGCGCTGGGTATAGCGGGAGAGAAAGCGAGCCAGAGCGGCAGCTACAAAACTCGTGTGGAGTCCAGCAGCGAAAAAGTGACGTACCTGTAACGTTGAACTCTCGAAAAAATGACCATGGGTTCTGCACAACCTTACCGCCAGATGTCATCATACAAACACGTTATACGATGGCTTTGCTTGTGGTTTACTGGTTGTACACTCGTGGCTTCAGTTTTGATAGACCACTCGGTCTGCGCCCTCTTGCCCCATCAAAACTGGCTACTCGTGTAAAACCAGTAAACCACGCGCCGCCATCGTATAACCTATACATTATAGTGGCCAGGAGATTTAATATACTATATACCTTGGGTGGTGTTGCTTACTTTCTCTTAAAAAGTGTAAAGTGGTCTGCACCCATTGGTACAAATCCATTATTATAAGGCTACTGTTACTACTGCCACTGTAGATCTGAAGTACTGTCCTGCAGAATGGGGAGCTGCTGGAGTAGATTACGGTACCCAACACTTACTCATGCACAGCAATGTTTACACAATCACTCACTACAGGCGGTGGAAAAGAAGCAAGGTATGTGGTAAAAAATTTAAATTGGAATGATATTTTGTTCTGTCCTACGTATGCGCTGC